ACTCAAATACACTTTAAAAATGCGTTTTAATATAATTAAAATTACGTTTTCTTATAAAAATACATTATAAAATTATTTAAAAATACATTTATTTATAAAATTAWTTGAWTTTTCGGGCCGGGCCGGGCCAGTCCATAGTCGGTCCCGGTCCCGGTCCCACGAAACTACCAAAAACCTCAACCGGTCCCGGTTTTCGGTCCCATAACCGGTCCCGGTCCCGGTCCCGGGCCGGTCCTTTGTCGGTCCCGGTCCTCCGGCGGTCCCGGGCCGGGCCGGGCCCATTTGGCCATCTCTAATCATAACTATACTAGTAGATAAGCGTTTAATTAGAAAAATAACTGGTACATAGGTATTTGTAAATGAAAAATAAATATATGACGAGTAGGGGATTTGTTTATCAAACGCTTGCCAACAAGATCACCATCGTCACCTACTTTATTGGGCAACATTTTTGGCCATCAAAACAGATTGTTAGTAAGCGTTTTTTTACCTATTAAATATTTACCGGATAAGATTATTGATCCTTACTATGCCTCTTGCTGAGTAAGATTCTGTATCTTTGCAATGTTTATTCGGATGGTAAGTGACCAATAAATTCGACAAAACTTTTGGCTGATTTACCTTATGGATAAGCGTTCTTTTGAAAAAGTTTTCTACTTTCATAATCTCCAATTATTAGTCAAAATGGAATCGTTTGAACCTCACTTCTTTTGTTTAAAGCGTTGTCTAAATAACTTTAAAATGCAATTTCTCTGTTGTACAAAATTATCATCATTGACTAAACATAACAATCATATCCACCATCATCATTAACACCGCCTTCATCACCAGAGATGCACAAGATTGGAGTTTTTCACGTATGGGTTTAGACCTGAAAAATCCTATTTTTGATGCTGCAAAAACAAGTCTGAGCCTAAGCAAGCCGAGGGTTTGAAACCAGGCTCGGTTGGTAGGCTGGTTCAGATTCTCCCTGACTCGAACCAAGCCTTGATCTTTTTAAGTTCAATTTAAGTGTTAACAAGTCAATTTCTAAAGAAATTACAAGAGGTACATAGATGCATGTTCAAGATTTCTTGTAAGAAGACCGAAAGAAATGGAATTTGCAAATTGTTTACATGCTTCGTGCATATTCGGGCTTTGGTCTGGGCCATGCTCAGGATCAGAACCCAGAATTTATTCGTTCGGGTTCGGGCCAAGCTTAGGCCCAGACTTGGAAAAAGAATATTTAGACTGATTAGACTTTAGCGTCTGGCTTGGAACCGGGTTTCAAGTGCAAACTAAGTTTGGTCATGAGCCTTTTCGTGCATCTCCGCTTATCACCATCAATTTTCGATACCCGATTGTAAATGGTAAATCATAATTAAAAACTCGAAAATAAAATCAATTGTATATCGAAGCTAAATTGAAATTAAAAGAAATAAAAATTAAAATTCGAAAATAAAATAATTAGGATGTCAAAAGCAAATGTAACAACATTTTAGCAATGAATTCTCAATGTTGTGTTTTCTGATATGATTCAAATCGATATATTGTTACAATCATCAAAGCAAATAAGTTCTATCGATAATTGGCCGTCGTAATACAACGATCAACAGTCACAATAAAGTATTTAACGAGGTAAAACGATCATAAGACATGAAATAATAAACTCGAAACACTTGTAATCGACCTAAAATTCGAAACAAAATGTTATTTGTGATGACCGTTGCAAATTCTCAACAACGATGAATTCGTGATGCTAAACGGTGCATAAATTAACGAATTTTCTATTCACAATCGTTGGCGTTGTAATTAGAAGAACAAAAGAACCTTTGTCTCTTGCTTTTGATGCGATAGTTTGTTGACGTCGTCCAAGAAGACGATGAAACGATTCTACCGAACAATATCTTTAAAGAATGTTTCAACATCGTCAATTCCTTCTCATCGATCTTGCTCGGATTATTATTCGTGACGCAAAGGATGAGGTTGCACTTCATCCTGCCACCCAAACAAGTCATATCGGCTTGGACCACGGTCAGTCGCAGGCTTTTAAGGGCGTGCTTGATCTCCGAAAATACTTCTCGTCGATCTTCACAACAAAGCGAAGCCCTGATGAAAACACTCGTGTTCGGGTCCACGGTACCGGAATCAAGATCGATGATTACTTCATCTAAATCAGTCGGAATCGTCGACACTTTGCTTAGCTCCTTCGTCTCCGACTTCAATTCTTTCACGTGTTCAACGACCTTCCCTAATAGACTCGCCTTGTCCATCTGCATATGCAAACATCAGTCACCATTGATAACAGGTTTAAAACTGAGATTTTGACGCCATTGATGTGGAGAAAAGAGATGATGACGACCTTATCAGAATTAGACACGAGTCTCCTGAGAGTGGTGAGATGCGCGTTGATCCTATCTCTACGCCGCTTCTCGGCTTCACTATGGTTCTTGGAAGCAGCTGTAGCTTTACCATCTTCCGATTGACCACCACCATTGCTACAGCCACCATGATCATCAGAAGCAGTGAGTTGATGAAGAGTTGGAGGTAAGAGAGAATGATGATCCCAGGTGCTGAATGGATCAGCATCTTGTATCCAAGAACTGTAAAGATTGTCCATTTGGGATGAATGGAGGAGATGGATGGATGGATATTTGAAGGATTTGTTCTCCAATGGAAATGGATGTTGGGGTTATCCACATGTCACCTCATGACCACTTGGATTGATAAGTAAATGGTATCATTTCTGAAAAGGAATTTGAATAAGTCCCCAGCCGCAAAGCATCTTGAAATCATTATTTCATGATAAAGAAAGTTCATGCATCCAATAATATATTTTTGTCAATCTCAATATCTCTTCTTTTTTTTCTTTCTATTCACATGTTTTTTATAACACCAATCATAAATTCACTTGTTTTTTCTTCAAAACAATTTTTTTTGGAATATCCAACCTGATATACGAGTCGATTAATCACATAACGATCATCTGTTTTGCAGATAGCTTAGAGTCATTGCATTTGAGCTTTCGTGGTCATAAGGGGATTTGTATTCCTCATTTGATTTGAACCTCGGACTTCCTGGTACTTTTGATCTTTGGAGCCAAACTCAAACCAATCAGGCACCACTCTTGTGGTTTTGTTTTTAATAATCTTTAAAACTAGCTTTTAAGTTAGTTTTTAATTAAAAAATACCATTAAGATTTTTTTTTAAATTTCAATAATTTGACCCTTTGTATTTTTATTTTAGGTTCTTTTACATTTTTTCAATTAGTTTTATTATTTATAACTAGTTTATTAATTAATAACTGATATTTTTTTTGATTAACCTGGATATCCAGTCCGCTATACGAGCCGACTAATCTCATGGCGACCACCTGCTTTGTAGATAGCCCGAAGTCATCGCATTTAAACCTCCGTGGCCACAAAAAGATTTTTATTCCTCCTTGTATTTGAACCTGGGACCTCCTGGTACTTTTGCCCTTTGGAGTCAAGCTCAAACCAATCAGGTACCACCATTGTGATTATAAATGGTATTTTAATCAACTACTGTTTTGTTAAACATTAGTGAACGTACTGTACAAGTTTAAGATTTGAGTTTATGTTTGTGTTAGCGTAGGCGGACTCAATGTTGTGACGGATATGTTATGTAATTTAAATGTAAAACTTAGTAAACAATTATTTTAACGTGTCGGTAATTGTTTTCATGCAAACTCTGGTTAAAGTGACAAAATGAAATAAAGTGATTATATAATGGAAGAAAGAATATTTTATTAAAATACGTTTATATTAATCTACATTTACGAATGCGTTTTTTGTCTTTTCGATTGGATAGACATAGTTGCTTTACTAAATGATGCTTATGATCAAGAAAGGATAACCGTATCGTTTTTTACTCAAAAGGGAAAAACGATTGAAATATAAGATCGATATAACAAACGAACAAATAAATAAATAAAATAATAATAACGTTCAAAAAGTATTATTTGCTTCACCTTTTTATGATAAGAAAAGATCATGGATTCCAAAAGAAAAAACCTTTTTGAATCAAATGGAGGTTAAATGAACTCCTACAAATTTCCCCTCTCAAATATCATATATGTTGGACTCAGGGGCCGTTTACCAAATGCTTACTCGAGTAAGCGTTTACCAAGTTACGTTACCTCACCGGATGAATATGGCAAGAACCAAGAGTCTTACCCGGTAAGTGAGGGTGATGACTCTTACCACGGTAAGCACTTACCGGGTAAATTGTTGCATGTGATGTCGTTTTGGTGGACTAAAATCTTACCCAGTAATTAAGTAAATAATAATATTAAATTTTATTGATAAACACATACCAGATAAGTATTTGGTAAACAACCCCTCAATATTTTCGAGTCTTCGGTGTCTTGATTTAATCGTAAGCATATTATCTAACAACGATTGATTTTACTTGCAAAAATAAACCCTCCTCGTAAATTCTCTTTTCATGTACCGAAGTAAAAAATAAAACTTATTTGTTTATAACATACGAATTCGATTTTCGAGGTTTATTTAGTAACACCGAAGATGGAGTAAATATTTGACACATCGTTAACCTGATGATTCTTATACCACTTATATTGGTGGACCTTCACCATCAATGATTATTCTAACTTTATTTTATATCTTAGTTGGAGTCGAATCACATTGGATCGTTTGATTTTAAAGTTTTGGACAAAAATATTTAAGTTTTTTTAAATTATTTAATTGCATAAAATATTGATAATAGGTATGAAATATGCTCCATTTTTTGTTAGTCCATCTATTATGCATGAAACATATTTTCATTTAAAAATGTATACAAATTTATAGAAGATATATTGATAAAATGTACGAGCAAACAATGAATGTGAATATGCATAAGTGATGGATCCAGAATTTTTGTCTAGTGGGGTCACCTTTAAGGTGGACCAAAGGCCCGCAAAGTGGCCGATGTGTTTTTAACCTAATTACAACGTTTCGAGTGATTTTTAAAGTTTTTTGGTTGATTTTGAGGGATTTTTGTTAAAAGTTCATATATAATTTCAATCTTGACTTACTGACTTACGTAACTTTGAATGTCCTTTATTTGTTAGGTATCTAACAAATATGAGCTGAAAATGTACAAAGGTCAAAGTATTTGCTAGCGGATATATTCAAGGGCTGCGCCTCACATTGTGGATATCTTAGAGGGTAGCGGAGCAATATAAGGATTCTACAAGGACCTTTCTTGCCTTTCATCAAATCATATATAAACAAGATGGAGCCGGTGGCTTAGCTCATTACATTCATTTTTACAATCTCTAAAACTTTCATTCTCAAGAACTCTCTCTCTCTCGATTTCTTCTTCTTCAAGATCATCAAGATCTGTCTAAGATCGTCTTCTTCGTATAAATACCGAGTTAGTGTTTCTTGTTCATATTATTAGAGTTTGTATTGTTAATAGTTTGTACAATCTGTTTTCATTCTATGTTTATGATTACTGTGTTAATAATAAAGTGGATTGTTATTGTTCAAGTTTAATGAATCTATAAAATATAATATGGTATCAGAGCGACGATCTCGCTTCTGAGTTTGTTTTCTCTCTTCTGTCTTACTCTGTTTCGATAGATGACTGAATCGATTCTTGTTTCTTGGTACTATTTTACCATTCTCATCAGAATCATTCACGATATCGACTTGATGGATTATTTGTTTTCTGTTTGCTTAATAACATGATCGATTGGGCTTGTACCAGTGATTATTGGTCCCCTCTCGTGATCTCTGTCTTTTTCTTTTACATCTGTGTCCTTTTATCTCCAGATCTATGCATGCATTTTCATATTTATGCATTCTTACATATAGATTAACGATCTGTGTCCCTTCATTTCCAGATCTATGCATTTAATTTTTTTTCTTTTGATCTGTGTCCCTTTATTTCCAGATCTGTATTGCTTCTTATTTTTGATCTGTGTCCCTTATCCGGATCTATTTGTAATGCATTATATCTCATGTAAGATCTATAATCTGTTCTGGTTGATCTGTGTCCATATTTCCAGATCATTTTGATATGCATGTCTCTGTTTAGATCTGTTCTTTGTCACTCTGGATCTGTATGTTGTATCATGATATGTGTTCTTTTTCCAAAACTTGTAGTTCTTTCAAAAATGTGCACCGTATGTCTCTATATCTGATATGATCGAGTATAGTGAGTTCTTTTCTTTAGATCTGAATGATCTAGTTAGACTCCTTATTCGTGATCTTCTTTCTTCTTTTAATTTCTATGACATACATAGTGATATCTTTTTTCTATCAAGATCTGGCTCATCTCAGGTTTACCTTTCTGGTTGATTTGCTACTCTAACTTTGTTCATCTGTTCAGGTACCTTCTGGGAGCACCTCTCTGATAAGTAGCATTTTTGTTCTTTCTTGTTCTATTCAATACTATATCCATTTGCTGGTTGGTTTATCTGTTGTTGTTCTTTAACTTTCTGTTAAAGATCTCTGTGGTAAGTTTTTATTTGTTGTGTGTGCCATTGTTGTTTTTCTTGCTCTTGGTCTGTTCTGTTGGCTTGACCTATCACTATAAGTGTTTTAGGAATCCTGCCTTTAAGCAGTTCAGTTCCTTGTTTTTGTGTGTGGTGGTTCTCTTATGGACACTCCTCTCGTTGTTGCTAGATCTTCAGATCCAATGGAATCCAAGGTCGCTAAATTAGACCTTGGAGACCCACTCTACCTACATCCTAGCGATACTAGTGGAGCTTCCATTCTATCTTTCAAACTATGTGGGACTGAAAATTATCGTGTTTGGTCCTGTTCTTCCATTTTAACTAAAACTCCCCTCCTGCTCTTGCAATGCATCTCATGATTTTTTACAGCACAGTCAGCTTATTAAACTAATGCAATTCCTCATGGGTCTTGATGATGTTTATCAGCCTATTAGGAGTAATATCTTAACCAGAGATCCCCTCCCGTCTGTTAAAACCGCCTTTTCTCTGGTATCTAGGGAGGAATCTCATGGGGGGGTCAATTCTACTCAAAATCGCGTTAAAACGCAAAATTCTGCTTTCTTAAGTAAATCTTTTGAGAATAAAAGAAAACCTGGGAGAAATCCTAGTCTTGTTTGTAAACATTGTGGCAACACTGGTCACACCATTGAACGTTGTTTCAAATTGATTGGTTTTCCCAAAGACTTTCAAAATCGACCTCGACCTCAACCTCAATCTCAAAACTTTAAACCACAAAGTCAAAACTTTAAATCTTTAGCTGGTAGTGCCTCTGTTTCTGATTCTACCACTCCGAATTCCTCCTTTGTTTTCTCTGAAGAGCAGGTAGCTAAAATTTTGAGCCTAATCAATTCCAAAAACACCACTGAAGGAGCATCTGCCAATATGGCAGGTATGTCTCATAATCCTTGCTATGGATGGATAATAGACTCTGGAGCTAATCAGCATATGACCTCTAGCTCCTCTCTTTTAGAAAATATCGTTGATGTCACTGACCTGGACCTTAGAGTTAGTCATCCTAACGGAACTATAGCTAAAATTGACAAAATAGGAAACCTGAGGTTATCCAACAATGTGACCTTATTCGATGTCTTAGTTGTCCCTGAGTTCAATGTTAATCTTTTATCTGTTYATAAGCTA